GTAAGCAGGCTGCATTTTGCCAGGAAAGCGCTCATGAACCACCGACACCGTGGATCAGGCTTTTCAGGGGGAGCCTCGTGAATACCTGTTGAACATAGAGAGACTCCGGAGAAACTGCTCACTGGCTGGGGCGCCTGGAAACGAGTTCTTTAGTCTTCCTCACTTCCCAGCAGGAAGAAGAAAACCACCCACGGGCTTCGACCTTGCCTTGTCCAGCCAGGGTGAAAATCGCAGTGACCTAGCCCAGCCATCTCCACCACCCTGAGTGCTCATTAATCTTGTTTTTCTCTAGTTTCTCCAGTTGCCCGGTCTTTGATATGCTGCATTGGTGTTGACAGTGGTCAGGGAATTGAAATTGAGTTTCCAAATTTGTGCTCCAAGGGTCACAACACCCTCCCTACTTCCCCTGCCCTGAGAAGAAAGGTGTTTTCCAGCTCTTTCTCCGCACGCTGCGGCCGCCTTCTCTGTCCTGCTTTTTCCTCAAGCCCTGCTGTCTGAGTCTCCCTTTCAAGCCCACCACAGAACCCCGGAGAGCTTGGCACAGTGCCCAGCATCCAGAAACCACAAAGAGAGACTCGGTGGTAGTACCCGAGGTGGAGGAGCTCCGCCCTACAGCCTGGCTGCCGCTCTCAAGTCCCCTCCTTCCTCCTGCCTCCCTGTCATGGCATCCCATCAAACTGCGGCAGACTTGACAAATCTATTTGGCATGGTTCACTCAACTATTTCAACCCCAGCGGCCCAGGGAACTGCACGTTAAACACAGTTCTCCGGGGGAGACCTGTTAACGAAGATGCTGCGGAGAGCATCCTTGCTGGGGAGGAGGAGGGGAAGGCCTCCCGGCCTCCCACCACATGGTCAATGGGGCGAGGGAACTGAGGACAGAGGCAAAGCCTAATTGGCAGGCAGACTTTCCGTTTTCCTTCCTCATTTTTAAGTACCAGGAGAACGTATTTCTAATGGAAAGAGAAAGGGGGTTTCCTCGGTCCCATCTCCTTTTATGTGGGCCAAACTGATCTTCCAACACAAAGCCCAAAACCAGACCCTCAAGTTACCCACCACCTGGTAGAGAGAGGAATTTCACCAAAGGTGGGAAGAGGATGCAGAAGACAGTGAGAACGTATTCAACCTGGGGACATTGTAAAAGATGAGTCTGAAGACTAGGACGCTCAATTCAGTCTCAGGGAGATCTTCCCTGCAAAATTGAATAGTGCAGGGATAAAGCCGGGAGGATGGCGTCCTTTCAAAATGTGCAGGGCTAAGGTATTTCCAAAAGCAGATTTCCTACAAATGGTGTTTTAAATAGCATCCCGGTCCATCTGTGTGCTTTTAAAATCAGCTTATGCTACAGCATCCCTCTGGCCAGCGCTGCTTAGTCATTGAACCTGGACAAGGAGCCCGTTAGGGAGCCTCGTGCCTCTCCCCAAGACCCATTCCTACCTGGCAGCCGGCCCTCACCTGCTAGCTGAATTCCCAGGGTGAGCACTTTCTTATTGAAAATGAGGGCGGAGAAAGAAAAAGTGGGCGGAAAAGGGATGGGGTGAGATGAGGACTCAGCTCTGGGAGTTCCTCTGGCCTCCATCACTGATTCAGTCACTGCTTCTGACGCCTATCTGGCCTTTCCGAGCTACAGCAATGGAAAAGCTAGCTAGACCTAGCTCACAGGTAAAGGCGAGGGTGTCTTTCCAGTGCTAAATATTTCACTTTCTTTATTGGTCACATGGAGCAATGCATGTTTGTATATGAGAAAGATAACTGGTACTAGAAACCATATTTTCACATGAATGGTGCCATGTTACTATGGCGATTTTTGATTTGAAAAAAAAAAAAAAAAGACAACAAAAACTCCTCCTTTAAAAACTCATGTGTCTTATGCCAGATTGCCAACATCACAGGGCAGAATTTTCTGGGTCCAAGGATTCTAGTTGTATGTGTAAGCTAGAGAGCATGATGCCCTGGGACAGGGACAGAGACCAGGGATGGCCTTTTGGAAATATTCTTTGGTCACAGCTGCCTTATTCTGATTATTTATATCTTTGCAGACCAGAACCTGGTGGGACTGTAGCAAAGGATGAGAGACAGACCTATTTTTCATCACCTTTGATTCCCTTCCATGGGAGGGTCAGCAGCCTCTTGGACTGCCCAGGATGCCTCCCTCACCTGCCTAATCTGAGCGTCAACCTGCCTGCAGGGATCACCTTGAGCTTGCTTCCAGGAACAGAGGCTCCTGTCCCCACTCAGGTGAAAACAGAGCATTTCCACTGAGCCCTCCATATGCCAAATGAAGCTCACTGGCAGCTGCAGAAACAGAATGCCATGCGTTTTAAGAGTGCTGAGTGCCAGACACTCATCCTTGTGTACAACAAAAGCCTCCTATTGGCCACATGGACCACATGCCTGGGAGCTACAGACTATGAAGGGACCGGCCGAGAGGGTTCAATGCCTCCCCACTAATCACGATTGCCTGTTCAGATCCTAACCCCCGACAAATGGGATTTCTCCTCATTATTTATTGTCCTGGATCTTCTTAGGGACATTGTGACTCCCTCTTTGGGTTTTGCGTCCTTTCATTCCCAGACCTCAGTAACTCCTGAACTGCTGTTTCATGCAGTTTTGTGATTGTTAACCCAGCATGTGGAAGAGACTCAGGCCATAAATGCTCACCGAGTCCTGTGTAGTGTGGGGAGGCATTTTCTCCTTCATTTGAAGTTAGATAACATTCTATAAGACCGCCTCCCCGCTCGTCCCCTCCCCGCTCATCCTCTGCTGTGCAAAATGCCACAGTGGCCGGGCGGCCATAGTTTTCCCATCACTCCAACATAAAAAAGTAACATTTCAGGGCCAACGTATCCTTTGCCTCCATCCGCTCTGTGAGTCTCTTCCTCATCATGGGGTCAGCGGGAAGCTCCTCGGAGACCCACTCCTGGGGAGGCCGACCTACCTTGTGGTTTTTGCCATGCCGGTAGACCATCCAGTCTTCCCCGTTCGTGCTGACCTCCAGCTTGTACAACTTGACGTAGTAGCCTTTCTGGGTCTCCCTGGAAATGGCTCCCTGTGTGGCGATGGCTGTGAGCACGGTGAGGAAGCGCAGGTCCACCTAGGAAGAGAAGTCAGAAAGTAAGGGGACCCCGACTCCCAGCAACATCTGGCTTTTCCTGCAAACAATAACGCTGTCTTTACAAAGCCAGTCTGTGCTTGTAACCACCACTATGTTCTTCCACTGGACAATTAAAGTCAACTGACTTCTTACGAGGATAGACATTTTTCCTTGAGAAATGGAACTTGATTTTTTTTTTAGTTTTATCCTTCCACTTACAAATCTGAATGGATAATATTCAGTTTCTTCTGACTATTGAATACTAGACTTATGACCCCCTCATTAACCTACCATCTGCTTCAGACCTTGAAAGCAGAACGGTCCTAAAGGAACACTGAATGGCAAAAATCTACTCTACTCCAATGCAATCCACTGTAATTCTCCAGAAGTGACAATCCATAGCTGTCTTCTCTCCCTTGATTCCCACACTCCATTGTATCTATAATCACTCAGGTCACCAAGGGGTCAAAGGGCACGCAGAGTCTGCCCAAGTAATTAGGCTTATGCACCAAGTCCTGACCTTTCACTCCGTGAGGATGGCCAACACTGTGAGGCACCTCCCCTCTGACCACGGCTAAACCATTTGGAAATTACTGGATGTTGCTCCTTTGCTGGCTACGGTCTTTCTTAAGGGCAGTCTCCGTGTGCACTTGTGATGAAAGCCAATTTAGCAAGCACTTATTGGCTAGTCAATGTGGGCGTGGGATCATGAAATAGTCGAGAGAATGTACAGCAACTTCTATGTAGAGAAGAAAAGGTAGGTAGCTATAATGAAGAAATAGACTATTAAGGGGTGAAAACGGGAGTATCGTGTATAGACTGTCACAACAAAGAACTTTCTAGAAGCTTCGCAAGATGAAAGGGTTTTTTTTTGAGAGGCAGAGGGGAGAGACAGTGACAAATGGCCCGAGAGTTGTGTTGTTAGAGCCTCTGTGGCTCCCTGGAGTTTCTAAGTGGTCTCTCGCCCTTCCCTGCTGTCTGCACTGCAGTATCTGTCTTAGAGCAGAGGTCACCATGTCGCCTCAGAGCTGGGACAGGCTTGTCAGTGGGTCACAAGGCTGTCTCTGTGTGTCATAAAAGCAGACGTTGCTCTGGTACAGAACTGGCGGTTTGTCCTCCCCCTGTTTACTTCTTCCCAGGGGATCAGAGCTGGACCCGTGTGCAGTGCAGGAAGATTACTCAACATGAGCTACAAGACTGGCTCAGGAAGACAGCAAACAATAGTCTGCAAGACGCTGCCGAGCATCTGGGGAACGAGTTTCGTTCCCCATGGTGACATTTTCCCATGTGTTCTCTGATAGCTATGTGCAAAACCTTCCTGGCAGGCTCCCTCCAGATAGCAAAGATCAGAAGAAGTTGCCATGTTCAGCTAGCGCCCAACAAACCTGCCTTCAGGAAAACGCTCTCCCCACATCTCTGATGCCTCCCTGTGCCAAGAATGAGGAAGATCTGGAGCTATTTATAGAACGTTCCTTTGATACTGATAGGCCAAACAGTATCATGGCCAAACAGCTCTCCCCAGGCCCACTAATCCGCGTAAGGGCAAGGGCAAGCGGTCCTCTTACTCATCAGTTTATCCCAGCACACAGCACAATGTTTGGCATAGCACAGGGCCGTTTGGATAGATGATGGATGGATGGATGGATGGATGGATGGATGGATGGATGGATGGATGGACGGATGCAATTCTCACCCATTCTGTGCTTATTTTTTTTAGCATCCTCTTTTGGTTCTAGCTGAGGGGCCACATCACCATCCCATCAACACACACATCACATTCTCTCTCTCTCTCTCTCCTCCAACACACACACACACACACACACACACACACACACACACACACACACACACACACACACACCTGGAGGTACTCCTTGTTGGAATCCAAGTTGGGGGTCCAGCCATTGTCGTCACCATGGAGCCGGCTCTGTTGAGGCGTCCACCTCCCATCAGAGAAGGTGGATGAGGCACTGATCTGCTCATTAGCAATCCGGCCGGACTCCATTCCCAGAGGGACGTTGCACTGGAAGTCTGGGGAGTGGAGATTGGTCAAGGGCAGAGTTAGGCATCTTAACCTCCAAGTGCTGGGGCCCCCCAGACACTGCCTCCTTCCAGGGACAAGCCCTTGCAGGCATTCCCTTATCCTGAATCTAATTATGTGCTCCCATTTGAAAAAAAACAACAACTAAACCAAGTCACATAGTTAACAACCCCTCTGGGTCTTCAAGGAACTAAATTGGACCTAAAAGAAATTAGACGATAGATAAATAAGAATCATCATAGAAATTAAAAATACCATCTAAAGCGCAAGTGCTGCAGGCTATGGATGCTCTCAGGTGCCAGATGCACCAGCCATGCACGCGGTACAGGTGAACATGGCAATCTGGGTGGGCTCAGCCGTCGTGGGAAGCCGGCACACACCCAGGAGGCACTTTCGCATGTCTCCCTTTCACCCAAGTGTTTCCAAATTTCTGGCACAGCAGACAGATGCTGCAAAGTATAAACACCCGTCTTTAGGAAACTTCCCTGTGAGCACACGCATGCCCCACTGTGTTCCCCGACAGCACTTGTCTGGACTAACATCCCAGAGGAGTCTCCGACTGGGCTCTTCTGCCATCAGCGAAACTGCGGTCCTTCACCTGGATGCTGGGGACACTGATCAATGCTCGCGCAGGCATGTGTTCGGTTAAAAACGGGCCACCTTTCTGAGGTATCAGATCTATTCTTTACCTCCGTGACGGCACTGGCCATTTGCTGGACGAGCTGCAGCTTGCTACACTGTTTATCATGCAACCTTCCAGAACTCGGATGAAAAAAAAAGAAAATGGCGACAGGACCGAGCCGAGCCTGTTCATTTTCAGGCAGGCCAGGCTGCTGAATCTATAGCTGCCTAGGTGATAAGCTGTCCGTAACGGTGGCAGGAGTTCCTCAACCCTTATCTCAGAGCGCTTCTTCCTTCAGGAGGTCATTTGGATCTCTAAGCAGCCATGACAGTGCACCTGAAGCACAGGGCCAGGAGCAAGCAGATGGTTTGAAAATGGGGCTCAGGATGGGAGACCAGTGGCTTGGGTGGCAGGTGCCACAACAGCCAGGCCCACCATAGATAGCACTTTGCAGTGCTATCCACCGCGCCTAGCACTCAGTAGAAGTTCCTCAAAACTGGTATTTCTCGCACGTGTGACGTGGACGTCCGAGGGATGGCATTGTCTAGCCAGGGAATCTCTACTGGGAGCGACAGAACTTGAATGTCAAGATAGATACATCGGGCTGTTTTGGGATGATGGCTTTTGGGGTCTGGAGATGAAGGAACTGATGCAGTTCTGGAAAGGGTTAGACCCCTATGTATCTTTCTACCATCATCCTAACCACAACCCTTTTCCATCCATAGGGATGGAGGCTTGAGATGGTCCACAGCTTTCTCTGGGAACAACACACACTTGTTTGTTTGCTTTGTTGTTGTTGTTTGTTTTTTATATAAGGAAATGAGCACCCAGATGGACACTGTCTTTTTCTCCATCATCTCTGCTGGGATAGAAGGCATGGCTCTCCTTCCTTGAACTCGGATGCCACCACCATGAAGTCTGCAGCATACCTGTCTACTGTTTTCACAGAGGTCAGCCCTTCACCTGTACCCACTCATGCCCCCCAATGAGAAGACAAGACAGAGATTCCAAATGGCCCACTCACTCTCAGGCGGCTCTTGGTGGACCAGGTAGTAACGTGCGGAGAAGCCGTCCTTGGCCACTGCCATGTCCGTGTGAAAGGTCAGGGAGAGGATCCCCGTGGATGAGCGGAGCTTGGAGGGTGTCTTGGTCCCACAGTACTTGCCAATCAGAGGGCCAACTAGATACAGGAGACAAAGAGCAGACAGAGGAAGTGAAAAATCTAAAACTGGTTCTCAGTGCTCTCTCCTGTCCCACCACTGCGAACCTAACTGCCAGTACCGTGACATAAAAACCGAAGGTGTGCTTCGAGAATAATGTGTGATATTTCCCCTGCACATTCAACAGCGCTTTCCCTGAGCTGGCTACGGTCTATTGTCCCATCCCTGAGAGAAGGGCCAGATGATATCGCTACAGTTCCTGCTCTACAGAGGAAGAAATTGAGTTTCAGAGGGTCAGGTGACATTTCCCAGTTCATATTGCAGAAACAGCAGAGCTGGGACCCAAACCCTGCTTGCCTGCCTAAATCTTATGCTTTTCCCTAGATGAAATTGCTCCTGCATAGCTCCCACATATCCTTTATATTAGAAAACACTGAGAACAACCACAGAGATGGACAACTCGTTTCCTTTCCAATACTGATTACACCTACGATCTGTGTGGTCTTCGCCCAATCTATACAGGCTCCTCTTGGCTGGGAATGATTGCCTTTTCCACATCCACAACCATATTAATAGTAATGAAATAATGGTTCTCATGATAATAGCGATGATAGATCATTTCAAAGCCAAGATACTAAGAGGTTGCATAACTTGCTAGGATTGTACAGCAGAGAGATTCAAGTCTAGTCAGTCTGGCTGCTATGTGGTCACAGCATTTGACTATTAATTCATTTCTATCCCGATAACCTGGTATAGAAAGGAACATGACCTAGAGTTTTGGCACCTCTGATGGTTAATCTCAATTGTCAACTTGATAAAAATCTGGAATCACCTTAGAGATAGGCCTCTAGATATATCTGGGGGGATTACCTTAATTCGGTTAATTGAAATGGGAAGACCTGTCCACTTTGGGTGCTACTATTCCCTGGGCTAGGATCCTGAACTTTATGAAAAGGAGAACGGGAACAGAGCAGAAGCATTCACTCACCGTGTGGAATGCCATCCCAGATGTCCAGCCAGTCATATTTGCAGTCTCCTTCCCCCACTTGTAGGGGGTCGTGCTCCAGGTCAAAGGTCAGGAACTGCAGGATGATCTCCATCCTGGGTTTGGCCAGGATGGTGAAGGTGCAGTCCAGATTGTGTGGATACTTCTCTGGGAACCCGGGAGATTCAATGGTCCCATTGGGGCTTGTGAAGTTCTTGGAACAATCTTCAGAGCCTGTGTACCAGAGAGAGAGAGGGGTAGGGAGGGGTAAGAGATGTAGCGCTAAGGAGCAGCTTTACTCTGCTGCCTCCTCTGCCTCTGGGTTATTTAAATGTTTGGGTCCATATCCCCCTACTCACAAGGTTTTTGTTTTTGCTCAAGTGGCCCTTGGAGCAACACACCCTTCCCATCTAGGTTTCAAGCCCTCAAGCCAGCCTCCTTTTTGGACAGAAATTAGGGAGACGAGGCTGATGGCTTTGTCTATCAGAATAAGACCAGCAATTGAGGGACTGGAGGGTAAGAGGTAGAGGAGAGAGAGAGAGAGAGAGAGAGAGAGAGAGAGAGAGAGAGAGAGAGAGAGAGAACAGAGTCTTCTTTCTCAATTACTCAGCTGCTCACTCCAGAAATGTAAGTTATTTCAATCCTTAAGGAAGACTTGCTGGTTGCCAGCAGGGAAAACAATGTTATCCCTTATTTATTGCTGACCTCAACACTAGCCTCTATTGTACCCAAGCCAGCCAAGTGCCCCTTCTCCCTCCAAGATCCAAGGTGCCTCAGGGGAGGGGCAAAGGGGAGCCCAAGCCTCATTCATGTCCTGACTGTATTAAAACGGGCTGCTCTGTAGTGGCGGGACAATTAACAATTGAGGTTTTTAGCCGGTGGATCACAGCGGGGCGTTGGGATGTTAAAGGCCGCTTGGGCGGCGAGTTTGGAAAAATGCAGCAGTGTATTGACATTTGGAAGGCCTCTGGTGCCTTTGTGGTGGGGATGGCCTTGTGTTTCTCTCCTAAGCTCTTGGGTTAGCGTTCTGGGGAATGTGTCCTGATGAAACGTGACACACATTCCCAGCCTGCTCCAAGCTTGGCCTGCAGCAGGAGCCCTAAGAGGATTACAGCCCCCACATCTCCTGATGCCTCTAGGTGGAGTCCTATTAGAAGAGCCTTGTCCTTTAAACCAGGAACGGTTCCTCTGGGCAGAGCCAGGGAAGGAGCCTGGAAGCAGAGACCCAGCATATACAAAGAGAACAAGAATGGATACAAGTTAACAACAGGGATGTAAACGCTGGTAATTACAATAGATTTCATTCACTGCATTTGGATTTTAAAATAAGAAAAGGAAGCAGGATTTATGAAGGGGATAACAGACACTCTAAGCATGAAGGAAACAACAACAACAACACAAATACTCAATAAACCAGGTGTTTACTGGCAGGAAGTGTCCTCTGGGGATCACACTGAAATATAACTATGGGATGTCAATATGCCGATCTTAGCCAGAAGCGATGTCTTTATCTGTAGCTCCTTGTAGCAGAGTCCTCTGCAAGTCTCCTTATTGACACTGACTTTCTGGAAAGCTGCAAATATCTGACTTGGAAAAGGTACCATGCAATAAGTGTATGTGTATTTGGGGTAGGCTTGCAACTTTCTGTAGCTCAGGCAGCAAGGGAGTTCCCAGAATCCCCACCTATCCATGGGATCCCTTCTCTCTGCTTACAGTTCTGCCCGCTGGGTTGTGGGTAGAATGAGGACCAGGAGCAAGAGCAAACCTTCCTGGCTTATTTGGAGCTCTGGGTGCTACACCTCAGAGGCTCCCCCCGTCATTCATTGATATAGCAGCAGCCGGATAGGGCCCGAGTTGCCAAAGGGCAGTTAGGTTGGATGGGATGAGCTGGGGGTGGCCTCCCCACCCCTCCCCAGCTTTGTTTATCATCAGGCCTCCAACTCCTGAGGGCTTCCTCAGTGGCCTGGGGTGATGCAATTTGGGAAAGCCAGGCCAGCTGGCTGGTCTTCAGGGGGCCAAGAAGAATTTTGAAAAGGTTAGAGTTTAAGGATGCTGAGCAGACTTCTTCATGGGGCACTTAGGGAGCCTCACACAGTGCTGGATGGAAATTAACTCTCTTTTGACAACTGACTGGAGAGTTAGCAGAGGCCTCTGGAGAGTCCCTTCCTGGAGCTGGCTCTATTGTTACTCATTTAGAAGGGACTCTGCACCACCCTGGGAGCCGGGAATTTATGGGGGAATCTTTGATCCTTCTCACCCATGGGGGACAAGTGTTTCAACAATGGACATTCAGAGCCCAATATGGGCTCTGGAGAATGTGAGATTCTAAACCCTTTAGTGAAGATCCCCAGGTCGGTCTTGTATGTAACTAGAAGGAATTTTTCAGCTTTAAGTACTTAGGGCCAACCAAATAACACCACCCCCACCCCAAACCCACCCCCCTTAAAAAAAAACACCTAACAAAACAAAGCAAAAACAAACAAAAAAGAAGCCAGTACATGTCTGATAATTGGTTAGAAATGGATACATTCTCTGGCTTCTTTTGAAGGTGAGAAAACATTGCTGTTTTATCCTTCGCAAGTAGAAAAATCAGGCATCTATTAAAAATGATATATTTGGCTGGGCGGTGGCGCATGCCTTTAATCCCAGCACTCTGGAGGCTGAGCCAGGGGGATCACTGTGAGTTCAAGGCCAGCCTGGTCTACAGAGCGAGTTCCAGGACAGGCACCAAAACTACACAGAGAAACCCTGTCTCAAAACAAACAAACAAACAAACAAACAAAATGACGCATTTGTCTGCAGTACTACCATGGTCAAAATCACCAGAATGGCAACTGAATAAAGAGATCTGGAAATGGACACAAAATTTGAGTCTTCCAGAAATCTGATTAATCCATAGTCCTTTTCTGCATCATGTTAAAAGGATAAAAATAATTTAAATACCCAGCTGACAAACATTCATGTCAATTCAATGTTGAGATTACTCATACAAGCTGGAGGTTTGGGAGAGTGTGGTGGCTCATATCTGTCATCTAAGCACTGTCATCCTAGTGACTGAGGCAGGAGGACTACCATGAGTTCCAGGCGAGCCTGCTACATATTGAATTCTAGGACAGCTTGGGCTACAGAGTGAGACTCTGTCTCGTCAAACAGCAAAACAACACACAACTAAAGTTGGGGGTCTGGACTGTACTGAATGGTTCCATCCCAAAGGGCTTTGGCGTGCAGGATGCCCACCCCAGGTCCCTGCTCAGATTTTGGCCTGCGGGATGCCAACTCCACGTCTCTGTACTGTCTAGTCTACAGCCTGTAAGTTGAAGAGGAGCGTGCACATACAAAGATACAAAAATGCAGTGGCCTTATCCGAAGTTAACCTTCACTTGACCACAGGCTGGGAATTCAGGCCTTTATGTAGGGGCTTGGAGTAGCGGGCATTGCAGGTTTCCTCTGCTGTGAACAAGCCCTACAATTTTTTTACCAGAAATGCCACCGAGTAATGGACACCGGAGAGAACTGTGGATCTTGAAATTCTGCTCAAAGATCTTCAGAAAAACAACAACAACAACAACAACAACAACAACAACAACAAACTGATTTCTACTGCTTCTGCTTCCCACGCCCCCTTTCAAGTTCTTTTAAGATTTTTCTTTCCTTATTCAGTGCTGGATTCGGTGACTTCCGGTTGTTTAGGTTTGCGACTTTTTTTCTGGCTTGCCCTTTTCCAGGTGAGACAGTGTGGTGACCTCAACAACAGTTTACCCTTCATTTAGTGCAGCCATGACCTTCTTCTGCCATATGCTCTGTTTGTCCCAGCCTTGTGGGTGTGTGTGTCCCAGAGTAACTCCGAGGCGGAGCCTGGAGAAAGCCAAGCTTCCAGAGCCTTCTGTATGGCTGTTTGCATATCTGTGTTTACAGTTTCCCTCTCTTTCTCTTTATGAATCTGACTGGCAAACATAGCGCTGTTTGTTTGGATTTATTCAGCATGTCCACCCATTTCTTTCATGTTCTGTGGATGATGTAAACTGTGTGCTTTTTCCCAGGACAGCAACCGTGGAAATAAGGACCTAAGACAAGGATGGATACCTTCTCTAAATGTCTCACTTTTGACTTTTGCTCCCTTGTGAAAGCCTGTGTTTTATATTTATAGGACTGACTTTCATACCAATAGCTACTCTTCCTGATGGCCCTGAGGAGGCTTCTGGGCATTCTTTTTTTGCACACTCCCAGCCATGTGGTTTGGGGCAGGGCTGTCACTCACTACAGCGTCCCTTTCAGTGGCCATCCCAGTCCTTAGAGTGGGCCACCCACTGCTCCAGGCTCAAGCCACAGACCTTTCCTGACTGGCATTATTGTTTAAATCTCTTCACAGACTTGCTGCCTTATTTAAAATTCTCCTTCTGCATGTCATCAAAACAGCAGGCTGAATCACGATCCCCTCATGTGGTTTATCTTTTAATGCCCTCCTTTCAAATTTGTGTGATGGATGGAGTGAACATTCTCCGTTTCTGTGGCTTTCTGGAGAGCGTGGCATTGTGCTTTACGAAACACTGAGATAAGAGCCATGAGACCAGAGATAAGCTTAACGGCCTTGCTCACTCTTGTTCTGACTTCTCTTGGCCCAGCTCCCTGGAAGGTCTTGCACGAGCTGATTCCCTTCTGAGGATGAGGTAGTAGATGGGTCCAGCACTGGGACTGTTTTCTGTTAGGTCACAGAGTTCCTCAGTTGCATTTCCAGAAGAGTAACAAGTGACCTGTGCCTTTACGTAACACTTATTCATAGTATAATTTTCCTTTTAATGTCACCAATAATACTGAGGGTGCATCTGTGTGGTGAGGATTTGTCTACCTGTCTCTCCCACAAGTCAAGGACAAGAAATCCTGCCTTATTCCTTCTTTCTATAACACTCAGTAGAGAGTGCTCCTTGGAGTTGGTACATTGGTCTGCGTCTTTTACTGGGACTCAGCTGTGCAGGGGGCTCACACCAGCCCCCAGCCCAGGACACACAGATCAGTTCCTGAGACCTTCTTGTGGCCAGGAACATGAAAATGCATGGCAGATGGGCCATCATAGGCCATAGCTTAGGGTCCCCACTCTGGCACAATACAGTTCTGCTAACCACACCCCTTCATTTGGTTCTATCTTCGAAGGCAGACAAGTCCAACAAATATTTAGACAGAGTGGATATAAAAAGTGCTTTCAACAGCCACTACTTCCTTCCAAGAACTGTTTAATGAAAAAAGAAAAAGAAAAAAAAACCATATGAATAGTTCCCGTTGCACTGAACTTAATAGGCGCCAGACTTTGGTTTCTCAACGACAGGGTGACATCTTCACCTGGAATCAGATTTCATGTAGGAGTTGCAAAAATTGGACTCCTGAAGAAAGAAAGATGGGGGCAGAGCTTCTGAGGTAAGGAGTGGGCAAGGTGAGGGAGAATGTGCCTTCCTCAGGCACAGGGATAGCTGATATGAGACAGAGGATGTGCCGCCGGGAGAGAAGACGTGTGGACGCAATGCAGCATCTTCAGATGCCCACTGGCCTACCGAGCCTCAGAAGTCAGTTCTGCCCATAAAGACCTAATGAGATGCATGGGTTCCAGCAGTCAACTCGAAGAAGGGTTATCTTTTCTGGCCCCGCCCCCCATTTCCACCATCTTTCATTAGCTTTTCAGGGCGTCCGATTCCCTGGCAGATGGGAACTAGGAGTTCAGTGTAGAGGGGTGGTAAAATGGATGGCCAAGGGGAATGTCTGGGAGTCATAATTTAATTTAAAAGCAATGACTGACCCCATTCTGGGGGTCGTGGTGAGATCTTTAGAAACCCCAAACAATGAAAAGATTATGTCCTCCAGCCCCATGTAATTCCAAATAAAGACAATATTAAACCATGAAGGAGTTGAGATAAAGTTCAACCAAGTTCAAACCATGAAGAACAGCTTGATTTTCAAAAACACAAAAATCCAATTCTTTCAAGAGATGTTCTTGTATTTATCCCCCACCCCTCCTCCTGTGTTGGTTGGTGCCTCATCTCTCCCCTCAAGTTGGAAGTCACCTGACCTGCCTTTGCATGTTGAGGCATTACCAGGTTCACCTTAGACATCTCTTCATCTGCCACCGCAGTCAGGGCAGATGACTAAAGCCCTTAACCCCCCCCCCCCCATGCCATCACCCACCAGGACTCCCCCTGTGTTCCACCTTCCCTATGATGCCCACCTCTGGCCTACTCCAGATCCCACCAACCTGTTTTGAAGATCTCGTAGCGTAGGGAGAAACCTGCCCCTTGCCGGGCATAGTCTGATGTGAACTTGATGTATAACATGGAGCCAGAGGAGATGATGGTGGGCGGAGCGATGTTCCCACAGTGTTTGCCCAGGAGGTCAGCCGACTCACTGTCCCCATCCCGAATCTCAATGAAGTCATACCTAGGTGGGGACAGCAAAAAGGATACCAATGAAAAGAAGATCCTTCTGAAGGTCTGGGAAGGACCATTATCCTCTCTCGGCTTGCTCCATTCCTTTAGAGACTCTCAGGTGTTGCGGCGTGATCAACAAAGGGCACTGTCCTTGCTTTGGTACCCAGGCAAACACAGACACAGGAAGTTGCTTTGTTCGAGCTACAGTGAATGAGTGCATGGGTGGGAGAGGCCTTATCTCTTGTTCACATAAGAGCAATTGCATCACTCTTTCAGGATCTCAAAGCAAGCATTGTGTTTTTCCTTGGGTGGCAGCAGCATATACCTTTTATTTCCATAGTGACCTCTCTAAATCTTTGTCTCTCCTAAACTCTGTCCTGGCAAGTTACCACAATGCTTTGAGCCCGAGTGTCTTCAAATGTAACAGGAGGAGAAAAATATCGGCTCCAGCACACTGGCAAGATGATGGGTTGAAAAAATTACGTGTCAGGGACCGGCACCCTGGGGATACTTCATAGGTGTTTGTTCTCCTGTCCCCTACCCTGTTTTAGTTTCCTCCTGGGCCATCCCCTCTCGTTCTTAATTGGCAGTGCCCCATCTGCAGGCCACCTCCTTCCCTGAGATTGTGCCCACAAAGTTCCCATCGGCACTGTCTAGTCAACATGTTTTCAACAGGGATTGGCCCTAAGTCAGAGAAGGCAATCAAAACTTCCCCCAAAGCCTGGCGACTCCCTGGGGACTGGGTCTGTGTGCCCACAATGAGGAGTAGCCTTTTAAGAGGCATGGCTGGCTGGTCTCCCCCAAGCTGTGGCCTGTGCTCCTTTCAAACTGAGTCAGACGGGCCTGGCATGGGGTGGGGCATAGATGTCTCCCGGTCTTCCGTGGCCAGTATCATAGACTGATCCACACAGAAAGTGCCCCCTTTGTCTTGACAGGCACGGTTCCCACAGTGATCCCCAATGATCCCCAGGTTTGTGTTAACTCCTTCTATGCTTCTGGTTACTGCTTAAATCACACATCACAAGTGGGAAACTTCTTCCTTGACAATCCCCAAAAAACCACCTCCCTGTTTCTTCTCTCTCCCTCTGTTTATTTTGCATCAACCTGTAAAAACAACACATAAAGCCATTTCTTCCTTGTGGGTAAGGAAATGTAGGCCTCCCTGGGCTGTGGCCTCCAGCGCCTGTCACAGTAGTCTGTGGGAGCTGGCTGCCTGCACAAGTGGTTGGAGTGAATTAGAGAGGCCCGAGGCTTACTTCAGCCTCCGGGAGCCGTATTTCAGATTGCTCAGCCATTTCTGAATAAATAGGCTTGTAAAGGAAGAATAAGGAGTGTGTTACTGGGAGCAGTTTATCTTGAGGCCCCGGAGGGATGGACTCCCGCAACCAAGAGCCTGGCCGGTGCTGATCCCTCCAGAGAGGTGGAGATGGGGAGATAGAGGCTTCCACCAGAGCTCTGGTGAGATAGCCAGGTTCCGAAGGCCCCAGGGTGGGGTGGGGCGGAGGATCTGGTCGAATCTGAGATTTTTTCAGTGTGGGAGATAGCACTGACTTTGAAAGCAAGCTTCCTCAATTCCAAAACAAAAGCGAAAAGACGCTTGTTTGTTCTCAGGGGAAATTCCCCATCCCGTCTGGAAAATCCCTCCTTGCCGGTCCACTCCGACTTGAGCACTGCCTAGCAGACATAGTTGAGCAATGGTGCATCCAGCAGCGTGCACACAAGTCAGGCAGCCCTTACTCACTCATCACGAGTTCCTCTTTGAGTGCAAGATCCCAGACCTGGAGATAGACACCTGGGGTTGGAGTCCACGTCTTAGCTGGAGGCCAACATTATAGTTCTTAAATAAGCCAACAATTTGTAAAGTACAGCGACAGCCACTAAAAACTTCTCCCCCCCTTTTTAATATGTTTTTTAAAAAAAATAGTTTATTTTTATTTTATATGCATTGGTGTTTTGTCTATGTGTATGTCTGTGTGAGGATCCCCTGGAAGTGGAGTTACAGACAGTTGTGAGCTGCCATATGGGTGCTAGGAATTGAACCCAGGTCCTTTGGAAAAGCAGTCAGTGCTCTTAACCACTAAACCGTCTCTCCGGCCCCCAAAACTTCTTTTTCAAAGCAGAAGAATGGAGAATGATTAAGTCTTACATCTTCCTGAGCCGCTGAAAATAGGGGAAATAGGGCTGAGGAGATGGCTTAGAGCGCAGGGTGCTGGCTGTGGGGGCATGAGGCCCTGACTACGAGCCTCATAAACCAGGTAAGTCTGGACACAGCAGAGTACACCTGTAATCCCATTGCCCCTATTGTGAGGCCAGAGGTAGACAGAGGTAGGAGGTGCCCTGAAAGCTGGCTGGCCAGCTAGACCCTGTCTCAAATAAGGGGAAGAGGCAAGGACTCACACTCAAGATTGTCCTCTGACTTCACATTCACTGTGGGCACTAGCATGTGCGCGCGCACACACACACACACCCACACCCACACCCCAAATGAATACTTTGAAAATGAATGATGTAACAGTAAAAGACAGATATTAGGAGCCTTCTCCTTCAGTTGTGAGCTTTCTATGACTGAACCTAGCCTGCGTAAAGAATTACTACATTGTCCGGTACTCAGTTTGTGCTTAAGAAAGCTAACTGGTTTGTCAAATTCTCACACCCATTTCAGAGGTAAAGAGGTTGAGGCATGTACGTAGATGAGGCTTGTCTGAAGAGAAAGGAGCCTTGGGGATAGTGGCACAGTGAATGAGGAGATGGAAATCTCTTCAAACATTTGGAAGGTACTTTTTGGGCAAAACTCGATGAAAGTTACTATGTACATAGGCTTTAAACCAGAATCCTTAGGACTTTTTTTCTGCCAAGAAAACAATCAGGGTGGTGTACGGATGTATATGCATCGTTGGGAATGTTTTTTAAAAAGCATATGAAAAGTGAGAAGATGCTCCCTTTATAGATAGCATCATGTTGAAAAATCCAACCAGACAGCAAGAGTAAATCAATTCCGGTATATTTATAAAATGAAATATTCAGTTGCTACAAAAAATAGTGTGGCAGGTCTGTTTTTTTTTTTTTTTTTACTTTATAGAAAAAAAGTACATGGTATACTATTAGTGCAGAAAGAAGAGATTTTTAAAGTCCATTTTCAAATGTACACATTATTTCCTCACGCAAGCATTCAGAAAACATTTGAAAAACCACATCTAAAATACTAGCAGAGATATATCATCATTATTCCCTTCTGCTATCCGAATTATTATAAGTTCACATTTCGTTAATAAGGCAAGACTCATGAAAATAAAGCTGCATTCCTTAAGTTTTCAAAGCAGAACTGTTGAGGAAAAACAAGCCCTAATGATTTAGCAGGGATGGACATAGTGGAACTTGCCAAAAACCCCAGCACTCGGGGGCTGAAGCAGGAGGATCAGAGTTCAAGGTCAACAATGTGTGCTACGTAATGGTCTGTCTCAAAAACCCAAACAAGCGGAAAACAAAATTAGCAGATGCAGGTATGGATTCTTTTCCAATATCACTTTATCATCCATCTCACAGAGCTGGAGTGTGCCAAATGAGGACCACATGAGACATGGCATGCCAAAACCCCAAGAATAGTGTTTCAGATATCATACTCAATAAATAATATTAAAAAAAAAACCCACCCAAATTTGTGGGTTTTGTGTTGGTGATTTTTCTACAAAGGACAGAGAGGTCCTGCTACCCTACTGGCTAGTCCTCAGAAGTGGGCGGGTTTTGTCAGGTTGCCTAATCACCCTTGGAGTCATTTAGAGGATTGACAGCATCAGCCAGGAGGCAGGGCTACCAACAAATGCCATTGCTCAGAGCTTGTCTCAATTTGCTCAGTGACTAGCCCGCCCCCAGGCCTTTTTTTTTTTTTTTTTTTTTTTTTTGTAAAATGGCCAGCAACAAACCCGTGTTTACTTTATCTGCGCACATACACACCTACAGTGAAGGCCATACAATTTGAACAAAGGTCCCTCTCAGCCAGTGAGTGACAAATTCTCTCTGTGTGTGCTTGTTAGTTAAGGGGACCCCCCCCCATCACCACCATGAATCTCTTTGTGAAGCATAAACCAGCCCTTCCTTCAACTTCTTTGGGAAACTGGATTTTTATATCAAGTGTGTATGGGGGAGACAGGACCAAGTGACCAGTTGGCAAGCAAGTTCCTTCTCCCTCCAGGGTCCTGGCTGCACCCTGTGGACAAGACCCACTTAGCCCTGTGGCCTTCTGGCCGGGCTTTTGCTATAAAGGGCACACTCCAAGTGGCACGCTGACTTCATCCAGAATGTCTCATTTACCTCCCGTGTGACGGACTCATGTGGGGAAATTTTTTATTATTAGGGATTTGCTGCAGCTGGAGCAATCTCCTTAGAAATTTCAATGTTGTCAGGTTCCTTTGCGAAGGGCTCCGAGGAGGAGCCTCAGGAAGTTTGTGGCTTTGGAATAAATACAGGCTTTGCGTGCAGCCTTGAATCTCCAGTGTTTGTTTGATCAAGAAATCTGGGGTGCGGACTCGAGCTTCACCCCAAGGACAGTGAAACAGGATAACTTGAAAGCTGCCCTCTCCCCGAGCCTATTCCTGCCTCCCAGAAGCCAACGCAAAGCAGCTAACAGACATATTAACTACAGTGTTTGCATTTCATTATTCATAATCTCTCTCAAATGAAAAAATTCCTTTCGAAGCTTTAACACTACCTCTTATTATTTTGGTTATTTATTTTCCCCCCTGAGCCAGAGTGGCCATCTCTAGCTCACGCTTGTTCTCTCTCTGAAATGGTCCCTGAGTACTTTCTTGACTGCTGTGCACAGCTGCTAACATCTGCCTGGGCAGTGCTGACTAGAGACCGCTTCCTCTACTTTCTCTTTCACCTTCAAAGACTTCATTTCTTCTTCTCCTCACATCCACACGTGTGGGGGGTGGCATGGAGATCTAGACAGTAGAATTAATTTTCTGAGTCCAAGGGGGCGGGGGTGGGGAGAGAGAGAGAGAGAGAGAGAGA